CTTCCGCTTTCTCTGTCAATGCTGGAGAGCTCATAAAACAGGCTTTCTTCCTGCTTTATATATACATAAAGTAAAGAGCGTGTTTAGAGCACATCTAAATGTGATCTAGTTATTGCAAATCTAAATGAGTGAATCAACCATAAAGAGGAAGGAAAGAAAAAGAAAATATTCACGTGAATCTCAACGTAAGATCAATGAATAGGACTTAGATTTGCAATACTTATGGCACATCTAGATGTGCTTTAGCAAAACTAATAAAGTAACACACCAAAATACACGATTGCACGATACAATATGATGAAGGGGCCCTCAAACAAAACAGATCTGCAAATACAACATGAAGCATAGAACTTACCTAGCACCTCGCCAAAGCCCGACCGACGACAACACTCCATGAGGGTGGCGGCTTAAGCATTGCTGCTCCCGATCAAACAGATAAGAGGTTCCATCTGGAGCCATGGTACAAGAACGAGACCCACACCGACGTCTCCATTAAAAAAGCGGCACCTACGGCCGCCAGCGCCAAAGCACAAAGCTTTTGCTCGAAAACTTGCCTGGACCACAAGGAGGCACCCCGACTACCACGACGACGAAGGCCAGCCCGGTCACACCAGATCTGAGCACCGCCACTTTCGAAGCAAGAGGACAGGGCATCCCACCAAGGAGCATGCCCGAAAGCCAATCGTGTGGCCCACCACTCGAGGCACACCGCCCCCGGCATCCATGTCCTGAGACACTGATAACCCACAAGTATAGGTGATCGCAACAGTTTTCTCGAGGGTAGAGTATTCAACACAAATTTATAGATTCGACACAAGGGGAGCCAAAGAATATTTGCAAGTATTAGCAGCTGAGTTGTCAATTCAACCACACCTGGAGATTAATTATCTGCAGCAAAGTGATCTGTAGCAAAGTAGTATGATAGTTTTGATAGTGGTAGCAGCAGGAACAGTAACGGTAACAGTGATAGCAGTAGCTTTGTAGCAAGTGCAATAGTAACAACAGCAGTAGTAACGTAGTAAGATCAATATGTAGGAAAATCGTAGGCATTGGATCGATGATTTGTTGGATGATATTCATCATGAGACAGTCATAACCTAGGGTGATACGGCACTAGCTCCAGTTCATAAATATAATGTAGGCATGTATTTCGTAAATAGTCATACGTGCGTATGGAAAAAACTTGCATGACATCTTTTGTCCTACCCTCCCGTGGCAGCGGGGTCCTATTGGAAAAAGGGATATTAAGGCCTCCTTTTAATAGAGAACCAGAACAAAGCTTTAACACACGGTGAATACATGAACTCCTCAAATTATGATCATCATCGGGAGTGGTCGCGACTATTGTCACTCCGGGGTTGCCGGATCATAACACGTAGTAGGTGACTGTAACTCGCAAGATCGAATCTAGAACATAGATATAATGATGATAACATAAACGGTACATATCTGAAATAATGGCACCCGGGCCCAAAGTGACAAGCATTAAGCATGGCAAAGTCATAGCAACATCAATCTCAGAACATAATGGATACTAGGGATCAAGCCCTAACAAAACTAACTCGATTACATGATGAACCTCATCCAACTCCTCACCGAGACCAGCGAGCCTACGAAGAAATTACTCACTCCCGGTGGGGAGCATCATGGAATTGGCGATGGAGAAGGGTTGGTGATGACGAAGATCAAAGTTCCCCCTCTCCGGAGACCCAAACGGACTCCAGATATGGCCTACCGATGAAGAACAGGAGACGGCGGCGGCTCCATCTCATGAAATGCGATAATTCTTTCTCCCTGATTTTTTTCTAGAAAAATAGGATTTTATAGCGTCGTTTCAGGGTCTACGGGGCCACCAGGTGGGGACAACCCACCTAGGCGCGCTTGGAGGGGGTGGCGCGCCCTGGTGGGTTGTGCCCACCCAGGTGCCCCCCTCCAGTGGTTCTTGGCTCCAGAAGTTATCTTTTATTGTATAAAAATTCTCGCAAAGTTTTGTTCCATTCCGAGAACTTTTATTTCTGCACAAAAACAACACCATGGTAGTTCTGCTGAAAACAACGTCAGTGGGGTTAGTTTCATTCAAATTATGCAAATTAGAGTCCAAAACAAGAGGAAAAACGTTAGGAAAAGTAGATATGATGGAGACGTATCAACTCCCCCAAGCTTAAACGTTTGCTTGTCCTCGAGCGATTCAGTTGATAAACTGAAAGTGAAAAAGAAAAACTTCTACGAACTCTTTTGCTCTAGTTTCCATAAATAGGCTTAAACAACACCCATGTTTTCAGCAAAGATTATAACTAACCATGTCGACAATAACTCTTAAAGATTATGTTAACTCATATCAATGACATAATCAACTAGCGAGCAATAATAGGGCATCTCAAACAGCAACATGTTGTCAAAACAACCATGATACAATATGACAACAGTAGTATCTCGCTAGCCCTTTCCGAGACCGCAAAACATAAAAGCAGAGCAGCTCCAAAGTTCAAGCAATGACTAAACGTTGTAATTCATGGTAGAAAAGATTCAGTCATGATGCACCCAACATTAGCTACACACAATGCATAAGCATGACAGCAGTGCTCTCAGGTTCTGGCGCTTATTTGAGAAGGTGATGACCCAGCATAAAAGTAAATAGACAGTCCCTTCGCAGAGGGAAGCAGTGGTTTGCAGAGGTGCCAGAGCTCAAGTTTTTAAAACAGAGGTAAATGAAATTTTGAGACATGCACCTTCTTGTTTACTTCGCGACCATCAGTTATCATTATCTTCCATGCTAAACACATTAGTAGCGGTTCCCAAGCGATAAAGTAAAGGTTATTGCTCCATAGGAGTTTTTGTTTGATTATTTATAAGTTGTTTTTGCAATCAGGACTGGGAATCCCTATTACCGCCTCTTTCTCATGCAATGGTGAGTGAATAAACACTCATCCTGAGAATAATCCGCTTAGCATGGAAGATTTCGACTACCTCCTGTCGCTCTATGAACAATCCAGACACACAAAAAGGATATTTATTTGAAGTTTTTAGAGGTGGCACATGCAAATTTACTTAGGACGGCAGGGTAATACCGCATATAGGTAGGTATGGTGGACTCATCTGGAATAACTTGGGTTTCAGGTTTTTAATGCACAAGCAGAATTCCCACTTAGTATGGGCGAAGGCTAGCAAATAGGTTGAGAAGCGGCCAGCTAGAGAGCAACAACGGTCATGAACATGCATTATGCATAAGTAACATTGGATACTAGCATGAGTAGGATACGAACACCATGAACATAAATATCATAGAGGCTATGTTGGTTTTGATTCAGCTGCATGCATGAACATGTGTCAAGTCAAGCCACTCGAACATCCAGAGGAGGATACCATATCATTATACTACATCGCAATCATTTTAACACAAATGTTGACATCCAAGATAAATCATTATCCACCCCTAGCTACTTATGCATGGCATGAGAAACTATAATCTCTAATTGTCATTGCAAACATGTTTGATCATAATAGGCTGAATCATGGATACTAGGTTAAACATATTTACAAAAAACAGAACAAGTCAAGTTCATACCCATTTCTCTCTCCACGGCCAGTTCATCGAATATCGTCATTATTGCCTTTCACTTGCACGACAGAACGATTCAAAAATAATAGTAGTGCAAGAGTGTTGTGGACTAATATGGACTCTTTGTCAGATCAATAAAAATGCATATGAGAGCCGCTCATCATTTTCATCGTGGTCTTCTCCTCGGTATGACTCAATAAAAAGAAAGGAAATTCAGAGAAACACACTGAAATATTTTTGGAGTTTTTGTTTTTTCATTAACAAGCAAATAAAAAGGGAAAAGCAAAAATGAGAAAAACTATTTACACGGGAAAGCTCCCAACAAATAA